TGAGAACATCGAAAAGATTATCCTGTTGGATGAGAATAGGAATCAGCATGTTCCTGTAGCATCCATTTTGGAAGGAAAAAATGCAGAAAGCTTTGAAGGAGACAAGACAATAACTGATATCCCCAGCCAACAGGTTAACCAATTTTTAATGATAATTAATTTTAGAGTTCAAGTTTTTTAAAAGGAAAAAAAAAATTACTTCATGCAAACTTTTCTCAAGAAGGAGATCTATTCCTTGTATAGGTGGAAGTCAGCTATCAAGGGCATGATGAATGCATAGGCAATTCAGCACAAATCATCAAAGATTCTGGAGCAAATGAGAACTCAAGAGTTTTATCTGCTGAAGAAACGGAAACGAGGGTTTTATGTGAAGAGGAAAAGAAAATAAAGGAACCTGATACAGAGGTGAGTTTTTGTTAAGTAGAACAAATGTTGCAATATCGTTTGTAGACATACATTTGTTTCAACTCATCCAAATGCATTACCATTTTTCATGCATAGATACCTTTCCTTGTAGCAAATATGAATAAGTCTTCTAATCCCCACCCCCACCTCCACCCTGCCCACACGCATGCTGCCCAAAAGAAAATTGATTTTCTGTCTTTAGTTAACATAAAAAATGGATACATAGCTATAAAAATGGAATGCCCAGGAACTGAAATTAATCTAAGAAAAATTAAACAGAAAAGGGTTAATTGTTCTTAGAGAAGACACTGTCAATATTAAAATATCAACGTTCTCCTTGTGTAGAAAACTGAATGATTATAGGAGATTATAGGCAATTTTGGAATAATTGACGTACCATATTTAATTTTGTCCATAATTAGGTAGGATTATTTGATCTCCTAATTTAGGAGATTATTTCCCTTTTTTTCTTCCCACTCGATTGTATATAAGTATAGAAATCAAGAAGGAATAAAACAATTCACACATAACAATGTGTGATTCACTGTCTTCTACAAATTCATTGTTTTCTACATGGTATCAGAGCTACCCATGATAGAAAACACTAAGGGTTCTACCACCACAGACGTGCTTCAGAATGACACTGAGGCTATATCTTCTATGGGCTCCAACACTAAAAATTCCTCCTTTCAACTCACCGTCGAAAAATTGAACGGAAGGAACTTTCGAGAATGGGCCCAATCTATCTAATTAATAATTGAAGGCAAAGGAAAGCTTGGGTACCTCACCAACGAGATCAAGAAACCAACGGAGCCAACTCTACTTCAAAAATGGAAATTGGAAAATTCTTTGACAACAGCCTGGCTTGTGAATTCCATGACTCCACAATAGGTAAAACCTACCTATACCTACCGACAACGAACGAAGTCTAGGAGGCAGTGAAGGAGACATACTCCGATGGTGAAAACGCTACCCAAATCTTCGAGATAAAGACTCAACTTTGGTAGACCAAGCAAGGTGAGAGAAAGGTCACGAATTATTTTCTGGAGATGACACAACTCTGGCAAGAGCTCGACCTCAGCCTTGAGGAGGAGTGGGAATGCACCGGTGATAGTGTACGCTACAAAAAAAGGGTTGAGAACAAAAGAGTTTTCGAGTTTCTCGCGAGCCTCAACCGCGATTTGGATGATGTTAGGGGAAGAATCTTGGGCCGGTGACCGTTACCAACCACAAGAGACGTGTTTGCAGAGGTTAGAAGGGAGGAAAATCACCAGAAAATCATGTTGAAGGTCAGCGATGATGAGACTACAGTGGAGACGTCAATGAGCTCGAAGAGGAATGGACCTGGGGGACTGAGAAGAAATGAAAGAATAACCAGTGGACCCGTCAACTTAAGTGGGCCTAATGGGTCAGTTCAAAATAAAAGAATTGGATGGGCTGAGAAATTGTACAATGGGCTAGGTCATTCTGTATGTGTAATTGGGCCCGAAATGAATAGATCACCTTCAAATGGGCCAAAACAACTAAGGGGACGTCCATGGTGCGAATACTGTCGAAAACTGGGGCACAAGGAAGATACGTGTTGGGACTTATACAGAAAACCCAATGATTGGAAACCAAGACAAAATTCCAAAAATCGAGGATATCAAGCATCAGTTGATCCTACTGGAAATCCTAAGGAAAATAATTCCACTACAGGAAGTGCATTTAATCCTGAACAGCTGAAACAGTTGTATCAAATTTTCTCCGGTCTTCAAAATTCATATTGTCTTTCCACCACAATCCGTCAAGTTTACTAGCTCACAAAGGTAATCATCTAAGAGAATTGACTACCTCCTCAAAATATAAAGTCCTATGGATTATTGATTCATGTGCGTCTAATCACATGACGAACACCTACCACCTCTTCTCTACATATACACCATGTGCTGGTAATATCAAAGTCAAGATTGTAGATGGGCCACTTTCAACTGTTGTAGGAAAAGGGAGTATCCAAATATCTAAATCTATTACACTAAACTCAGTACTTCACGTTCCAAACCTATCTTGCAACCTATTATCCGTCAGCCAATTAACAAAAATATCTAATTGCTCTGCTGAAACCTTCTCTTCAGGGGGTGAAGTTGTGCGAAGATCAGTTCATAGATTTCGATCTCTCTCCTTCTATCCATACCTCAACAGAATCAGAGTCCATCACACCATTAGGTTCTGATATGCCACATATAGAACAACACTTGAACTCAGGGAGAGATGTAGGAGAACAAAAAAACAAGGAGATACTGATTTACTCAAGGAAGCCAAAATCAAAGGAGACCCCCATACCTGAAGCACCAAGAGAGTTGGAATCGATGATAGCTCCAGATCCTCATGAATCCGAATATCTTGATATCAACTTACCCATTGCACTCGGAAAAAAGGTTCGATCATGTACTCTCTATCCCATCTCAAAATTCATATCTTATAATGCTTTATCTACAAAATTTCGTACCTTTACAGCTAACCTTGACAACACAACAATTCCTAAAAACATTCATAAAGCCTTGGAAATCCCTGAATGGAGAAAAGCGGTGATGGAAAAAATGAAAGCCTTACAAAATAAATGAAACTTGGGAGATGGTGGACCTACCGAGAGGAAAAAGACCTGGAGGATGCAAATGGGTGTTCACTATGAAATATAAAGCAGATTGGACAATAGAAAGATACAAAGCTCGTCTTGTGGCAAAAGGATACACACAAAACTACGATGTAGATTATACTGAGACATTTGCACCGGTGGCCAAGCTTAATACAATACGAGTTCTCCTATCTCTGGCAGCCAACTTAGACTGGTCACTTCAACAACTGGACATAAAGAATGCATTTCTAAATGGAAAATTGGAAGAGGAAGTGTTCATGACACCACCAGCAGGTTTCTCCTTGCAAGAAGAAAATTGAGTCTGTAAACTCAAAAAATCTCTATATGGCCTTAAAAAGTCACCAAGAGCATGGTTCAATCGATTTGCTAAGGTGTTAAAAGGACAAAGATATCAGCAGGGACGGTTCGATCATACTATGTTCTTCCAATAGTCAGAAAGCGGAAGGAAAACAATCTTGATTGTATATGTCGACGATATAATCCTAATTGGAGACAACATAATTGAGATGGAAAGATTGAAGAAACAACTGGCAAGACAATCGAGGTAAAAGATCTAGGACAGATGCGATACTTTTTGGGGATGGAAGTAGCGAGGTTAAGAAAAGAGATCAATGTTTCATGGTACAAATACATTCATGACCTCCTATCAGAAACAGGTATGCTTGGATGTAAACCAAGTGACACACCAATTGATGCAGGAAGAAATCCAGAAAATATTGAAAAATCAGTTGAGAAAGAAAGATATCAACGACTAGTGGGAAAATTAATCCATTTGTCTCATACTAGACCAAATATAACATTCTCAGTCAATGTGGTAAGTCAATATATGCACTCGCCAAAGGAAACACTCATGGAAGCAGAATATAAAGTTCTCAGGTATCTGAAAGGCTCGTGGGGAAAAGGACTATTCTTCAAGAAAAATGAGAGGAAAGAAGTAGAAATATTTACGGATGCCGACTGGGCGGGTTCTACAGAAGATATGAGATCAACAAGTGGTTACTGTAGCTATGTATGGGGCAACTTAGTAACTTTGGAGAAGTAAGAAACAAAATGTTGTAGCAAGAAGCAGTGCAGAAGCTGAATTTAGAGCGGTGGCCCAAGGAATTTGCGAAGGACTGTGGTTAAAGAAACTTTTAGAAGAATTACAAGTTGGTGTGAAACCTCCAATCAAACTATATTGCGATAACAAGGTAGCAATTAACATCTCATTGAATTTAGTACAACATGATCGAATCAAGCATGTAGAAGTGGACAGACACTTTATTAAAGAAAATGTTGAAAATGAAGTGATTTGTACGACTTATATCCCTACAAAGGAGCAATTAGCATATTTCTTCACCAAAGGACTACCCCGACAGTCAGTTGACGAGTTCATTCGCAAGTTGGATATGATCAACATCTACCATCCAACTTGAGGGGGAATGCAAAAAACTGAATGATTATAGGAGATTGGAGGCAATTTTGGAATAATTGATATACCATATTTAATTTTGTCCAGAATTAGGTAGGATTATTTGATCTCCTAAATTAGGAGATCATTTCCCTTTTTTTCTTCCTACTGGTTCGTATATAAGTATAGAAATCAAGAAGGAAAACAATTCACACAGAAAAACGTGTGATTCATTGTCTTCTACAAATTCATTGCTTTCTACACCTTGGCCAAAAGTTCTGATAATCACCAATGAGTCAAGTCAATATAGGCATAGATGTAAAAGAGTTTGCTTAAAGAGGAATGACAAAATTAAAATACAGATAACATATGGCACGCGCCTTTTTCCTACAACTAGAAAGCATGCTTCTCACTATTCTCTGACTCATCAAGAATATCCCTATTGGAAACATTGTGTCCAAGGTTATTAATTTGGCATGCTTAAAGGTAAAATAATTCCAGATAGATTATTAACTCATTCTGTTTTTCAAATTTGATCAAAATAAATGAAGAACTAAGAAAATCTTACCAATGAATTTACCTGTGTGCATGGATGCTTTTCATCAAAAGATCCTTGAGCGAAGACTTCGAAGCCAGGACACTGACCTGCAGATAATGATGGAAACTGATGGCTTCACAGCAAAACTAGAAGAAAACAGTGCTAAAGAGAGCTCTCAGGATGATGAGGTGAACTTGAAGTCACTTATCATTCGTTCCAGTACACGGTTTGATGCTTTCTTGTCTGATTGTTACTTCTGCCTCTCAACTTATATAGGGAAGCAAAGAAAGTAAAAATGCCAAAGCAGAACTGAGCACGAGGGAAGTAGTCAATGTAGTCGCTCCATCTTCAGTAATCGAAGAAAATAAATTAGATGAAAACCAGAAAATCGATGAAAGGAATGAAACTCACGCTGCATTATCAAACTGTAACGATCAGGTTGCTGCTGCTGGTAATGCTTCACAAAATACATTTAATCTGAACCTTGAGGAATCCTACAATCATTCATATGAAGAACAAAACCTTTTGCCAGTCTCATGCAATGAGACAAAAGATGATCGTTCAGAAAATATTGAGGGTTCCAGTATCATCCCAGATTCTTCTTCAGCTCTAAAGACCACTGAAAATATAGACATAGAAAAGGCCATTGTAGGACAAGATGGCAATGCCAGAAATGCTGATGACTTCTTAAAGGAAAATCTTGACACTCAGAAAGCAACATTGGAATCAAAGACAGAACATGAAAACAGAATGGAAGACTTGGACATCAACAGTTTGAACAGCATGACAGAAAAGGTAACAAGAGCGTAATCATTTGAATTACATCCATATTTAGGTTATTGCAACAAATTGATTAGGAATAATAGATGCCATAGCAGCATACTTATAATACACAGTGTCCAAGAACCAAAGAAACAGATACTAGATATGAGATATCACATCACTGTGAGGGTTATTTAGATCATGTTTGGCTAAGCTTTTTAGGAAAAAAAGTAACTATTTCCAAATATATTTGGATCTTATATTTTTTTCTTACTATTAAGTGAAAAAATTACTTATTTTGAAATTAACTATTATCTTACTCTCAAAATAACAACTTATATAAATTTTAACCTATAAAAAGTATTTATCTATAACTTGTCTCCATTTAAATCAATTTACTTATAAGTGAACTTTTTAAGGTCAGCCAAACATGCTCAATGTTCACAATCGGCATAGCTTAAATTGTTAAAGTTCTTATAAGTTGTGGGTCCTACAAAATATGTGGATACAAAGTATATTTGACTAACTTAAATTAAAATTTAAACGTTGCCAAACATGCACATAATCCACGGAAAATCTATAACAATGCACTTTTTTATCCAGGCGATGCAGAATCTAGAATCAGTTGAGCCTAGCAAAGAACCCCCTTCTACATCGGAACCAGTGATTGAGCTCAAAAACAAAAGAAGCCCTGAAAGTACTATCACCACAGTGGTAAATGATGGCATCAAGGCTATGGAGGAAAGGAATAAGCTGATTGGAGAAGTACTTATCTCCCAACACTCTCTTGATGGTACAGTAGATACAAATGATGATGGAAGCGAACACGGAGCAGATGGCAAGCAACATATTGACTTGATACAGGTAGAAAATCTCGATGTGTTTATGTACTTAAGTTTGCTATCTCCCCACTTTCAGCATTTCAAAAACAAACCAATTATCATGCTTCAGGAAGTCGTGAAAGTTTATCAAAATGACAAAACCACCGAACAAGAAGAAAAAGTAATTGAGCAAGATTTTGAAAGCAGACAAAGAGAAGCAAGTTGTGAAAAGAAAATCCAATTGGGGACTGATGACACAATTGATAGAACACCAGATTGTGACCAGATCATAACAGGTGGCAGTTTGTCTGAAGAGGTCTGTCAAAATACAAGCCCTGGATTTTATCATCACTCTAAATTATTGCTACCCATTGAGAAGAAAGAAACAAAGCATTCTTATCCAACAATATTTATCTTTTAAAGATTCTACAGGTGCAGCAAGAGAATGAGAACACTGATAGTGAAGGGAAAATTAAAGAACGAATTGAGGAAGAAGGTTGCCCTGAGGATGTTCAGATGATAGCTGTGGCTGATGCAGCAATGCATGAGGTGAGTTCAAAACTGATGTCAAGCATACATTTTTATGTTTCTTACAGCCATATGCACTTGTCTGTTCTTCTCTTTATGATAGTTAATTTTCAAATATTCTATCAAACAGGAAAAGGGCGTAGACTGCTCTATAAAGAATCTTCTTTCGGATGATAGTAAAGAAAAAATTACTCCAGACATTGCCGAAGGTCTCAATCAGAAGCAAGAAAAATCATCTGTCACAGAAGTGCCAGAAGATGAGAAACTCGTAAATATTACCAGCTTGGCATCCATAGCAAGAGAGGAGAATTGTGAGTACGAAGTTTTTCACGAGCCAACTAGTTTCCATGACAAGACTGATACCGAGGATGTGCAAGTGCTAGATGACTCCATCATATTTTCATCGAAGGCGAATCCAGTACAAGTAGATCCAGAAGAAGGCACAGAGCTGCTGGTTCCATGTGGACAAAGAGAGGAACCAATGCAACAGGACCTAATAACTGCACTGAAGGAAATTGAAGAACAACCACGAAATGCTTGTGAGGCTGGTTATAAGGGGAAAATGACCCTAGACATTGACAAAGATCTCAATATGAGGCAAGAAGAATTCTCTGTTACAAAAGAGTCAGAGGACGAGAAACTAGCAAATATAACCAGCTTGGCATCTGTAGCAACAGAGGAAAATAGTGATTACAAAGTAGTCCACGATCCAAGTAGTTTTCATGACAAGACTGATACTGAGGTTGTGAAAGTGCTAGATGACTCAATCACATTTTCATTGAAGGATATTCCAGGACCAGTAGATCCAGAAGAAAGCACAGAACTCCAGGTTTTATGTGGAGAAAAATTGGAATCAATACAACATGTCCCAATAACTGTTCTAGAGGAAATTGAAGAAGATCAACCACGAAATACTTCTGAGGCTGTCTCTAAAGAAAACATGACTCTAGACATTGACGAAGATCTCAATAGAGAGCAAGAAGAATTATATGTTACAAAAGAGTCAGAAGATGAGAAACTCGCAAACATTACCAACTTGGCATTTGTAACAGAGAAGAGCAGCAATCAAATAATTGTTCCTGAGTCAAGTAGTTTCCATGACAAGACTGATGCTGAGGATGTGCAAGGGCTAGATGAAGCCATCACAATTTCATCAAAGGAGAATATTGTACAAGTAGATCCAGGAGAAAGCGCAGAACTCAAGGTTCCATGTGGAGAAAAAGTGGAATCAACACAACAGGACCCAATAACTGTTCTGGAGGAAATTGAAGAAGGAGAAGAACTAAATACTTCTGAGGCTGTCTCTAAAGGAAAAATGACTCTAGACATTGACGAAGATCTCAATCGGAAGCAAGAAGAATTATCTGTTATGTCAGAAGATGAGAAACTCGCATATATTACCAGCTTGGCATCTGTAGCAACAGAGGAGAACGGTGATCACAAAATTGTACCTGAGCCAAGTAGTTTCCATGAAAAGACTGATGCTGAGGATGTGCAAGTGCTAGATGACGTATCATCAAAGGAGAATATGGTACGAGTACATCCAGAAGAAAGCACAGAACTCCAGGTTCCACGTGGAGAAAAAGTGGAATCAATGCAACCAGACCCAATAACTGTTCTGGAGGAAATTGAAGAAGAACAACCACGAAATACTTCTGAGGCTGTCCCTGAAGAAAACAAGACTCTAGACATTCATGAAAATCTCGACCAGGAGTTAGAAGAATTATCTGATACGAAAGTGTCAGAAGATGAGAAACTCGTAAACATTACCAACTTGGCATCTGAAGCAACAGAGGAGAATGGTGATTACAAAATTGTTCCTGAGACAAGTAGTTTCCATAACAAGACTGATGTTGAGGATGTGCAAGTGCTAGACGATGCTGTCACAATTTCTTCAAAAGAGAATATAGTACAATTAGATCCAAAAGAAAGCACAGAACTCCAGGTTCCACATGGAGAAAAAGTGGAATCAATGCAACAGGACCCAATAACCGTTCTGGAGGAAATTGAAGAACAACAACGAAGTACTTCTGAGGCTGTCTCAAAAGAAAAAAACACTCTAGACATTATCGAAGA